AACGATGAAAAGTTAAATAGTAAACTATTTAAAGTGAGGTTTGAGGTTTCAGATGTTTATGCTACTGTGTAGCAGAATTTAACATGGCTTTCAATGAATAAATAAACAAAAAAAACTCACAAACTGGGTTAATTATTCAATTAAACTCCAGCATTCCAAGTTTGGAAACATTACTGTGGTAATGGGACATTTTCTGCATTTATCGGCTGAAACGATGCAAGAAATAAAGGCTATTAGCCAAAAATATGTCGGCTGATGTTTTTGTCTAAATCTAGTCTGATGCATCCAGAAGTGACTGAAAACCTAGATGCTGTTTGGCGAATGTCGTGGTCTGAGGACTCCAGCACTTGGTTGGGTTGATGCTAATCTAGAAGACATCACCACCAAGCCGACTGTGATACATGGTGGTGGCAGCATTATGTTATGGGACTCCTTCCTTCAAATGGAGCTACTTTGGCGGATGAAACGATGAGCAGCTGCAAATCCTGCAGTTTGCTCATGAGTCCATTCCATCATCCCAATCCACTGAGGAATTAGGGCATCAGAAAAACATGCTGGATGATAAAGTCCCACTAAAGGAGTCTGAATGCTGAAATGAAATCACAAGTATTAGTTTAAGGGCATGCAAACCTATGCAACATGTCATTATTTTTAGATTTTCCACTAATTGTTTTGTTTTTTAGTTGTCTTGAACACAAACAATGTCACATTAAATGTAAAAGATCTTTGAAAATGATTTATTGTACAGTAAACCCACAAACATCATGCTAGGTGACCTTTCAGGATATAAACATCCCAGTATCCTGCAGCATCATGGACCAATTATTTTGTGTCTTCACCAGAAAACTTTATCGTCTGGGAGACGTTACCCGGGGACAAGGGTGAGACATCCGAAAGCGACGAGGAAGAGGAGGACTTCTACTTCTCAGACAACTGATTTGAACTTCTGGAATAAACGTCCAATTCGTTTTCATTCAATCTGTTTATACGTTTCAAATGAAAGTTATATTTCAAGAAAAACTGAGTGAAGGTTTGTTTTTTTTACCTTCTGTTCTATAAATCAGAATTACTGGATGTTTAATAATCTTTCTGCTTATAGTTCTAAAAAAAAAAAAGAATTTTTGGAAACATTTTTCCAATGTGTTGCAAT